GTGAAGCGTTCAAAGTGAATACAGGAGTAAGACAAGGCTGGCTGCCCGTTATCACCGATGATATTCTTAATTGTGGTGGAGTGACTGGATTATGCGTCAGATTGTGAGTGGGGAGCGAGGAGACAGGAATAGGCTGGAACACCGATAAGCGGACTCTAGAAGATCTGGATTTCTCAGATGATATATATCTAATGTCACAAAAACTGGAGGACTTGAAAGCGACAACCAACAAACTGGCTGAAGAGGCAGCAAAAACAGGACAGCAGTTGAACATAGAGAAGACGGAGGTAGGTGACGAAGATAACCAACCAGCAGCAACGGCAACAACCAGCGCCAATCACCACCAACGGGAGAGATTTAACACAGGTTACCTCCTTCACTTATCTGGCCAGGAAGCATCGTTTCAACTACAGGCACTCGGAACAGATGAAGATGTCAAAGTCAGCCATAATCGGAAAGGCAAGATACTCCTTCATCAACCTGAAACCCGTTTGGAAATCTTCTTCACTCAGCCAGGATAAAGAACACAATTAGGATTTTCAACACCAACGTCGATTCAGTCAGTTATTCTGTGTCAGTCAGTCAGAAACTTGCACTGTGTGTCAAGGTAGTGATTTCCAACAGGTTGCAGATTTTCATCAACAGCTACCTTCGCTCGCTCCATACTGAAGATCAAGTGGCCAGAAAGAATAAGTAACAAGAAAATGTGGGAACAAGCTAATGAATAGCCGATCGCTCAACAAATATGTACGAGAAAATGGAGATGGATCGGGCACACACTGAGGAGGCCGTCGAATGATATTGCGCGCAATGCAGACCATCACTTTTTGATGTGATTGTTTTCTCGGAGATGGATAGTGAATATGCGAAGCTTTCATCGCCCTACTAGGCAACATCTTCCTTCAGCGCATACTTCAATTTGAAGTGAGCTTTTAGATTTCTCCACGAGTTTATTAATCATCTCTCCTGATGACCTTGGACGTGATTGGTTGTTTTTGTGTGTTTTCATACCTTCTAGGTTACTTGTATTGGAACTGATTGTTTCTTTGACTTGAATTTTAACTCTTTGTGTGTGAGGTTTCCTTCTTATCGGTTGGTAAATTTTGTCTATCTCGATGTGCCTATTGATTGGTGATTCACTGGAATACCAGGCTTCTAAAAATTCTCTAGCGTTCTTGTTGTTTCCTCTGTCTAATAATTGAACGTTGTCCCTGTTGAAATGATCTCCGTGGTTGTCTGTATACAGTGATATGAGGGAGTAGATGTCATGTCTTTTGACGGCTAGCTTATGTTCGTGGATACGAAGACGAAGGGGACGTCCACTTTGGCCAATGCAGTGTTTTTCACAGTTGTTACAATTTATTTTGTAGACGATGGTTGGTTGGTTGGTTTTATCTTCTTTCGTTGTTGAGTCATTTGGTTGACATAGACCTGAGTGAAGTGATTTTGTTGGTTTGTGTGTGACGTTAATTTCTGAAGGTTTGACGAGTCTTGCGGTGATTTCTGAGGTGTCTTTTATGTATGGTAGGGCGATTTTCTTTGTGCTTTCCTTGGATATCCACGGAATTTCATCCAAAGACATATATTCCCAAGCCAATATATCAGATCAAAGGCCCCCAAGGAAAGCACAAAGAAAATCGCCCCGCCATACATAAAGGACACCTCAGAAATCGCCGCAAGACTCGTCAGTCCTACGGGAGATTAATCGTCAGACCGAATAGCTCAGAAGTGGTAATGTCTCTGACTGCAGCATTCACTGGGTAACATGGCTTTAAATCTCAGAATGGACATGAGTTCCTTGAAGGTTTCAGAAACGCCTTGCTGGCTGTTGAGTGTAGTGTAGGTGGTGTCCAAGGCTTCCCACCGACTGCCTCCAATCATCTAATATTAATAAAATAAATGAGAATCCCAATTGCCTAGAAGCGAATGGATTGCGGTTTTTCTTTAGTAGCCATAGTCGTATCAGCCTGAACTTGCAGTTGATGAGAGAACCTGTAGTCTGACATTTAGATCACTGAAGCATGTTTACTATGTGTGTCTTGTGTGTGGTCTAAAGACTGCTGTCAAGTGTCGGTGTATGACGCATTACTTCCCGTGGAGTTAGCAAATGGTCTTCGTCTAATGGTCGGTCTTAAACTAAATCCTTCCAAATGTCGGACTGTTAATTTCAGTTTCCGATGTAAAAGAAAGTTAATTGAAGCTGTTGGTTCCTATCACCGTTACAGAATTGATGATAGTGATATAGAAATCAAGTCTGAAGTTAAGTATCTTGGATTAATTCTTTCTACTGACCTATCCTGGTCTTCTGAAAGAATATTTCGTCTGACTTTTTACATTAAGAAGTTAAGGCACTCAGGCATAACCCAAACCCTCCTCTTACAGTTTGTCAACTCGTGTATCTTACCTATTCTTCTTTACTGTTCACCCTCATTCTTTCCTGGATTGCTTAAAACAGACTATGTCATACTTCATAGAACTGTGAAGACTGTCGGTAACTAGGGCGAGTGGTATCCCATTGGGCCATATCGTTGACATTGTCATTGATAGGCACTTGATTTCATGCTCCAACCTTGTGTCTCCTCAGGTAAAACAAGAAGTCTTTTCAGAAGACTTTGTGCACGTACGTCTAAGTATAAAAATTCCACTATACCATATTTGGCACGTACTTTATGTGATGAAAATAGTGTTAGGCATGAACTAACTAACCTTCTTTGCACTATTAAATAAACCATTTCCTCCACCCTTACAACATCAACCTTTATTGTTATTGTACTTCTTATATTTATAATCCTCTCAATTTTTTTTATTTGTTTATTTTTCATAAGTGTGAACATCATTTAAGCTGTGTTATAACTGTTAATTTTGTATTTCCCCTCACCATACTGTATCAACAGAACATTAGATTCAATACTCTATAACATGCTAAAATTTCCAAACTGAATCGACAATACTGTTTGAAACAAACTCACTGTTATTATTATTATTATATTTAATATTCTCAATTCGTGCTTCGAATATTTTTGACTTTATACCATAAATGTGGACAAATTCCTCTGGTTAATTTTGTTTTAATTTTATTTATATTTTGAGTAAATCAGATGCAATATTGTGAGAAATGCTGAGAATTCCATTCTGTATTATAAGTGCTGTTTTTGGAATAAAGTAGATTATTATTATTAGTATTATTATTAACAGCCTACCAACCCGAGGTTGTTGCACATATCCTGACTTCCAAATCAAAACCTACTCCTCTCCTTATAATTCAATATGATTGGGATTAACACGAGAAGAGCTAGCTGAGCATCTACAGTTATGCGTCTTTCAATCATGCGATAGCTGATCATAACTGGTGCTAGCCGAGTAGAACTCATGGCCCAGTTAGCTTTCGGTAAATTACCAGACTAGTAATTTAGATATGCTCCTGGTTTGGACTCTATAAGAATTTATCTATGCATTGTCAATATCCATTCACTAAATATATATGATAGTCTACAGATCCTAAGCTGTCTTAAGTAACCTCATCGAAAATAACAGATAATGTCCGCCTGAGAGTAAAAGCAACAGTTAATAAATAACCGAGTTAATTAGAATCTGATTGGATAAAAAGAGTCATCCAGGTAAACTGTACAAATTGACTTTGTAAAGGCCTTCGACAGCGTTGACCTCGAAGTAATCTGGAAACTGTATCAACACTATGGCGTACTGTACCCCAAATCTTAGTCAACTTAATTAAACAGATATATGACAGTGCCACGTGATCCACAGAGGAAGACTCATTGCGGTGTTCAAAGTGAATTCCATTCTGTATTATAAGTACTGTCTGTTTTTGGAATAAAGTAGATTATTATTACTATTATTTAACATAATGGAAAGTAATTTTGATTGGGAACTCGTGTACGTATACCGATGAATTCAATTCTTGGTTGGCTCTCACGAGGTATGCAACATAGACGGCACTGAAATAGAAACCAAATCGGAAATTAAATACCTAGGTGTCATTCTATCTGCTGATCTCTCCTGGTCGTCTCATATCCTTGCAATTTCTAAGAAAATATTCCGTCTTACCTTCTACATTAAGAAGTTAAAACATTCTGGTATAACCCAACCCTTACTCCTACAATTCGTTAATTCTCGCATCCTTCCTATTATTCTCTATTGTCCCCCCTTAGTTTCCTCAGGGCTACTGAAGAAAGACTATACCTTATTACACAGGATGTTAAAGGTTGTCAGCAGGGTAAGCAGCGTGCCACTTAACCAGCTTGTTAATATTCTGGTTGACAGGTACATGGACTCATGTGAGAAATGGGCCAAGTCCATTTTATCTAACTCACACCACCCTCTTCACTCACAACTCTCCCCTTGCATCTCATCAGGTAAAACCAGAAGCCAATATAGAAAACTATATGCTCGCACCAGCAAGTACAAAAACTCGACCATACCCTACTTAGCTCGTGTTCTGTGTGATAAAGAAAGCATTAGGCGTGACACCTATAATTCATTAAATAGTCAGTAGAACAACTGGATCTCGTCTTTCCAACTCATATCATTCATAGGTACAACATTTTGTTTCTTTCTTTTCCTTTTCTCTCTCTCTCTTTTTTCCGTTATGTGCTGCTTTGTGTCTTTCTCTCGCTTACGCCAGTTAATAAGACAGCTCCCACTTTTCTAACACCTTCAAACACTGTTCAGCTTTGGCTTTGCTACCAACATGCCAACATGTTGTTGTCGTAATGAACTGAGATTTCCTTAATCTATGTAGAATTCTATTTATTGATAATGTACTAATAGGATGCAACACTGTAGAAAAAATGCTGAGAATTCCATTCTGTATCACATGTACTGTTTTGGAATAAAGCAAATTATTATTATTATTAATTCTTCCAGTAGAATTCATATATTCATTCAGATGAATCTTAGTATGATTTGTGATTATTGATTACATGTTTTCTTCTTCAACTCTCTTATTCGTCTTCTTCTTCTGCTTCTTGATCTACTTTCAGGTCAAACTGAGAACATGTCACCTAGTCATCATTTTACAAGTGTTCTTTGTGCTATCCAGTATGCAGCTGAGAAATTAAATCAACACGAGAGACTAACACATTCATCAGCTCAACAGGATGTTTCACAGATGAACTCACCATTCACAATGAATCAACCTGTAGACTATTATGCTCCAACAATTGGATCAATGCCAAATTTTAATGCAGACGAATTTAAACATCAACCAGCATCAACATTCAGTCAACCATTCACTGGTAGATCACATTCATATACGCAACCACCACCGATTACAAATAAATTTAGTGATATTTTAAGGTTAGTAAAAAATCCTCCTTGGTTTTTTATTGTCTACAGGAGTGACATTTTTTAATATTGTTCCATTGGGCTCTTAATGAAAAATATATGGCTTCAACAACAACACATCTCCACTTCTGTCCTGTTTTCTGGGGGTCCTCTTCAGCTGGACCCAGTATTACGCATAGTCTTTCATCTCCTTTTCCCCAAATGATCTCCATATCGTCCTCGGGTCGAAGCCTAACTCGTCGTTACCCCTTTCGGTTTCCGCTCGAGCAATGGCCTGCGATGTCATTCGATGGTCTACTAAGTGGTGTGTGTTGTGTGTGTCGGATCCATCTCCTGTTTCTTCGGCCTATTTGTTGAGCGATTGGTTCTCGCCTGTTGGTTTGTTTATTGCCAGGGTTTCTTGTTGCTGATTATTTCTGGCCGGCAGTCAGCTATTTGATCTTCAGTATGCAGTCAGCCAGCGAAGGGGGTAGCTGTTGATAAAAGTCTACTTTTCGTGAATCACCCGCAATGCACTGACCCACATAGAAGCAGTGCCCAACTTAACATTGGCGTTGAAAATCCGAATCCAGGTGTTTTTGCTGATTTCAGAGGACTTTGAGAGTGGTTTCAGGGTGATGAAGGTGTATCTTACCTTTCCGATCCTGACTTTGACGTCTTCATCCGTTCCACCCACCTGTAGATAAGCGGAGGAAGTAACCTCTTTGAAAATTCCTCTCGATGATAGTGACTGGTACTGGTGTTGTTGCTTGTTGGTTGTCTTAATCAGCTCCGTTTTCTCTAAGGTCAGCTGAAGTTCTGTCTTCGCTGCTTCTTCAGCCAAGTGATAATGATGACCTGGTTAGTAATTGAATTTCAAAGTCCGTTGGTAAAAAATTCTTCACTCGAAATTCTGCAGTGACCCGAATTTTCACTTTACCCTCAGCTATCATCACTCATTGCATCACAATGTTAAATCTAAATGTCAAACACTATTTCAGCGACTGCAGTATCCGTTTATTTGCTTAGTACAAGGTTTCCTTCGGACAACTGGCCTTCGTAGACAAAAACAACACTAGTATAAATAGTTTTTTTACAAAGGTTTTAGGTAATTTGAGACGATTCCCTGACATATTTCGCTTATTAAGTTATTTGTTGACAGAGACAGTTTTGATTGGTTGGAGGATTTCATCATGAGCTGACATCAGTTAGAGAACCATTGGAAAACCTGCACTGGAGTACTACTGGACAGCTGTTTCGTCAGCCTAGTTTGTGACTCTTCAACAGTACTCACCCACTGCTGGGGTTCAAACCCACTACCTTCTGGTTACAAGACGAGCTATCTAGTAGATCATTAAGCCAGCTGGGACCCGATCCAATGGCCAGCCCGTGAATTTTAACTTCTGCCAATTCATCGCGAAGCGGTCGCGCTATGTTACGAATTGAGGAGGTCGCCGAAAGACATCACACACCAGGCCCTCGAGTGGAATCCCGTTGGCTAGCGATGATTGGGTGACATGGAAGGGATAATGTGTTGGGGAGTAGATGAGAAATTATGCGCAATCGTGGACCCAGATGAATAGGACGACAGAAAACAGAACAAACTGGATATGTGTTGTTGAAGCCAGCCCTATGTTCCACTCGGAAAGCAAGGGAATAATAATAAATAGTAATCATTTCAAATCTAGTTAAATCTCTGTTGCGTCATTACCCAACTACCACGTTTGTAGTTTTTGTTTTTATTTGCTTAGCATATTTTAACTAATCTCATTTTACTTTTTAATTCATTAATTAATTAATAGGCGATTTTCATTGAATCGGGACACGAGTGATACTACTTATTTATCAGCTGCTAGCAAAAATAGTAGTATTAGTGATACAAGCAGTGGATATTATAGTAGTCTATCAACTGGTGACAGTTCTACTGATCCAAGTCGACGTAACAGTAACAATTCATATGCATCATTAATGTTAGGCATAACAACAGCAATGAAGACACCAGAGGAGGATACAAAAGAAGATACAATGAAATTACACGAAGATAATTCTATGCCCTGGATGATGCCAACGAACCAGACACTACCGAGAGCTTTGATTAAGACATCTACTAAAAGTGGTCCAACAAAACTGTCATCAGGTAAGAACTATTATTGCGTTGGATAATGTCTTGGTTGACTGATTGACCTTGAAGAGTTTGTTATTTTAGGGGCCTGATGATTGGTTTTGATTTTCACTGTGGGAAAAATGACGGTCAGTGGAAGTGACAATGTCAGGATAGCTAAAGTATCCTCTAAAATTATTAATAATTTTAATGGCTTGTCAATGAGAGATTAAACATTACTGACGGCTGAATAAAGATGCAAAAATGATTCCAAATGTCTACTTTCATATTAGTTTCCGGGTTACGTAATGGTTTGGTTTTTACAGCCATTTTTCAAGCTAACTGCAGCAACTAGATCACAGATATACGCAACTTTAGGGAGAAATCACTTCTTTCTAGTTTGCAAATGCACCTTTTTGAAGACTACGAATTGGAGCGAACTGACAAAATGCAGTGTCTACTGGAAAATATGGGTGAAAGTCTGTGTTTACATGCGGTTTGCTCCTGTTAAATTTAAAATGGTGCTGTTGGATTTGCCTACATAGACGCCTAGTCATAGGGATAGGGAGTAAACGGTTATGTTTGCCTATTACCTCATTTATTCCGGAAGTTGGATTACCTGTAATGGTCTGATTACAGTTCAGCGACTCAGGGATTGACTTGCTACCAGGGAATAATCTCGTCGACTTAGAATATGCGGACGATATAGTCCTTCTAGGCGAGGACGCTGACAAAATGCAGCGTTTACTGAACACCTTGAGCAACAATCTTCGTATGTTTGGCATGCGATTCGCCCCTGTAAAATGTAAGATGATGCTGCAGGATTGGACTTCACCGACCCCTAGATTAGAAATAGGAAAAGTGAAGTGGTAGAGCACGTTGACCGTTTCAATTACTTGGGAAGTACCATCAGCCCCAACGGGTTGATCTCCGACGAAATCTCAACACGAATACAGAGGGCTAGGTTCGCATATGCCAGTTTACGCCGTCTCTGGCGTAGACGTGGTATCCGACTATCGACCAAAGGGCGTGTGTACTGCTCAACAGTCGGCTCCGTCCTCCTTTATGGCTGTGAGACATGGCCATTGAGAGTGGAAGACATGAAAAGATTAGCTGTCTTCGATCATAGGTGTCTGCGTTCTCTCTCCCGCGTGAATTGGTATAATAAGGTGAGCAATATTGAGGCTAGGCGTCGAGTGCTAGGTAAGGAGGGGAGATCAGTCGACGAGGTTGTGAAATTACATCGACTGAGATGGTTGGGACATGTGCTACGTATGCCTAGTCATCGCCTTCCTCAACAATAGGCAATGTTAGCTGATATAGGGCCAGGCTGGAAAAGAGCTAGCTGCGGTCAAACGAAAATATGGCACCAGTCAATGAAATCCACAACAGTTAGTCTAAGCCACGTAGGAAGGTGTAGACTTCCTGGTTGGGGTCCTCGGGACGGTAAAAACCAATGGTTGGAAACGATTGGTGACATGGCTCAAAATTGTTCTCAATGACAGCGCAGATGCATCCACTCCTTGTGACTTATGATTTCCAATTAAACTGTTTTGTTCTCCGTTATTACTATTCCCTTGCTTCACACCTCTGTTTACTGTCTATATTATGCATTTCTTCTACTTTCTTCTCTTGGTTTGTGTGCTACATGGAGTGTGGGGAATTGAACTGGCGCACATATGTGCCAAGTTCTATGTCGAAAACCGACCGACCGACCGACCGACCTGATTACTAAAGAAATCGCGATAGATAAAGTAGGCTTGTTTAGAACTTGACAACTTGCACGTAACATCTGCTTACCCACTGAGGGACGTCTGTCCTGTACAGTATTTCGCTCCGTCCTACTATACAGATGAAATTAGTGGACCATTTTGAGTACAGATGTCTTCGTTAGAACTATCTCGTTAGGTCGAAAAAAACCCTCAGTAATAATGAATTTAGGAGTAAACTGTCAAGTAGGGAGGGGGGAATTAGTCTATGAGGCTGTAAGCTAGAACACGCATTAGGCATGTGGATATCACCTTTGCTGAAGTCGTACTGCTAATGAGTCCCAATAATCTCTTCTGGTTTTCAGTGGTTCTCGAACTCATATCAATCCATGGTCAAACTGGTTATTTTTACGGTAGTAACATTACTAGTTGTTCGAAACCAGGACCTTCTGGTTGCAAGGTGAGCTAGCTCATAAACTATTGAACCACTGGGACTCAACTCATTAATGGTTAATCCATGAAATTCAATTTCCACAAATTTGGGTCCTCAACTATCCTGATGAAACAGCTAGCTGTCGAGTACTCCTTGTGGCTGGTTTTCAATGGTCTTCTAGCCGATATCAGCTCATGATGAAATTCTGAACTTTCAGACCTTCATAAACAGCTGTCTTCGCTCAATACTACTCAAGATCAGATGGCCAGAAAGGATCAGCAGTAAGGACCTGTGGGAGAAAACCGAGCAGGAACCGATTGTGCAACAAATAGTCAGGAAGAAATGGAGGAAACCACCAAGTGACATCACTAGACAAGCCATTGCTAGAGTGGAACCCGAAAGGGAAGCGGCGAGTTGGTCGTCCAAGTGTGACTTGGAGGGGGTCATGTGAAGAGGAGATGAAAGCATGTGGACAGATGTGGAGCCAGGCGGAGAACTGAAAGCAATGGAGACGTGTTGCTGAAGCCCTATGTTCCTCTAGGAATTAAAGGAAACAATAATCATTCTGTGTTGCTCTTAAGTTTCAGACTATATATTCTACAACACTAGCCGACTGTCTTTGAGTTACACATTAGCTAAAAGAGTTATTCCCCCGTATGATGAAGAAGACACGGTCGTTTTACTTCTTTTGTTAATTGTTCAATGTCTAATCACTTTCTCTTGTGTTTAAATTTCTCATTTTTTTTCAAATCTCAACGTAACAGAAACAAATCCAATGAATGACCTACTTCAACGTCCAACTGATTTGTTGTTAACCTCCATGCCTACAGAATCATCAGCACCAACAGCCTCCACAAGACGAAGAGCTGGTTCATCAAGTATCAGTTTCGATGAGACTTTCGATACAAGTTTAGATGCTACTATTCTTAATAACCCCAGTAGTACTAATAGCAATAATGCTGCCAACAGTCATAATGACATTAGAAGTAATAATAGTAATAGTAATAGTGATACCACTAGTAATGCTAATAATCATAACACTATGACCAGACCAATTTCTGTTATCGGCAGTCGACGACATCATTCAACATCTTCAACTTTAAGTAGTACAAATACAAGTAATACAAATAATACAATGAATAATAATAATAGCGTCGTTAATAACAATTTTAAATCAAGTTCTGTTTGGACGAATGAACCATTGACGAACAAGTCAAGAATCAGTCATTGGCATAATAATAATAGTAGTAATAATAATAATAGTAGCAATAACAATAATAGTACAGATACAAAGGGTAGAAAAACAGTCAATACTAAGGGGAATATCTTTCTACAACGTCGTGATTTCAATGTATTCACGGTGAGTTACCTTCAGTTTTGCTGTGTGTGTTTGTGTGTGTGTGTGAAATGTCCCTTTAACACATCATATATGCTGAAGACTGCCGATTGTCTCCAACTATCTAATATCATCAAATCAATGTGCACCGTGATGGCGAGCTACTTAGAATGGTGGCCACATTGCAAACCTGACTGATAGAATTCAGTCTACACCAAAGAAAGGACTAGACACACATCACACTAGGTACTAGTGTCCAGTCAAAGTATCCACTACAGTCCTACAGGAAGTCAGTTGCAAGCCCGAACAGCTCACTGGTAACGTCTCTGACTGACTACAGCACTGGGTGACAGGGGTTCGAATCTCAGAAGGGGCATGAGTTCCTTCAAGGTGGTTGCAGACACGCCTTACTGACGAGTGCCAACTAGCACGAAACATAGGTCCAAGGCTTCCTGCTGATTGCCTGCTACTCTCTGAAGACTGCTTTGTTGTTGATTAATTCAGTACAATGAACATCAACCTAACAGATCACTTGTTAGTGTAGAGTTACTGTTAGGGTTTCACAGATGTCAATATAGAAAAAATCCCCGCTTAGACATTTAGAAAACAAAAAGATTGAGAGAAGAAATATTTACTTTTCAATTAGATCCTCATCTCACTCTGGCTCTACTCTAATATACACGTATAGCATTTTTATTACAATACACAACAGTTTACCAATCATCAAGTGGCACTGATATGTTTGTTAACAATAATTAGTCAGTGTCAAAATGTCAATGGGTTGAAATAAACGAAGAAAATCATACACATTAAAAGTAGAAATGGATAGAATAAATTAATTTTACAAGGATAACAAATGAAAAAAAATAATTTGGACAATTATAATTTTTATAATTTTAAAGGTTTAGGGGAAGGGGGGCGAAGTAGTCCGGTTTATACAGTCATGTAATGATGGCCGAGGTAAGGAAAGTGGCTGTACAAATTTCTTCTGAACACACAGGTTTGGCTTCTTCAGGTGGATTCCTATTGCTTCAGCTGTATGTAGAAGACGAACTCGTAGAGCAAAATTAAGATTAGTAGGAATGCGATACATAATTTTAAATGCAGTATTAACATCAACCTTATGCTCAGTATCTACAAGGTGTGCTAAAATAGAGCTACGAATAGATCTTGTTTGTCCCTTGCTTAACCATGTTGGATGATGTTCGGAAATACGATGATGAACCTGTCTAATTGTACGCCCAATGTAGCTGGCTCCGCAGCTGCAGTCAAACTGGTAGATACACATAGAAGAGGCAAATTTAGGTAGTTTATCATTATTTCTCGAACGTAGAATAGGGGTGGTTGTGAAGAGAAAATGTACCTCTGCTGCATAACAAGCTCTTTTAACTGCATTCTTCAGGCGCTGTGTTATTATTTCGCTGATGTTGTCACCGAAGAACTGCAGTTTTATGAACATTGGTTTTGTCGGAACTGTGGCCATACTGACTCTCCTAGGTGCTGACACTGACTAATTATTGTTAACAAACTTATCGCCACTTGACTGGTAAACTGTTGTGTATTGTAATAAAAATGCTATATATATTTGTTTGTCTAGTTTGTGACTCATCACCTATACGCACCCACCCAACTCCCAGGGGGTGGGGTTACTTCTCAAGCTAACTCATACACCATTCAGCCAGTGGGATATGACTCTTCAATGGCCACCAGCCGATGAATTCTAACTTCTACCACTTCGTGATTTTAGAGCGACTGGTACGCACCAGCCAGTAACATCTCTGGCGAGTAATGGTCTTCACTCCAACCCAACGAGGTAGACTCCATTATTCCCAGTGGGTACCCCCTAGTTTTCCATGGTTCTCTAACTGATATCAATGCGCGATCAAACTAGAAATATTACTCAGTTCAACATTTGACCTCATCGATCAATTCATGTTCTTCTTTTCTTATAAATATACGTCTGATATTAAGATGGTTCAGTTGTTTTTCTTACTGAAAATAGAGGATGAGGTTTTAAGTACTTGTAATACGGAAAATATCTCTAAAATGGTCCCAGTTATCATCGTTCACACGTGTAATGCAACATCTGATAGAACAAAACGTGTGATGATTGAAAGTGACATGGAAGTCTGGGTTGCGGCAGGATTCGAAATGCTGGCCTCTTTTGTGCTCTACCAGATGAACTATGAAAACACCCAGGGTTAATTGGTGGATGATGACTAGTAGTGGAATCCAGGATGCACATTTCGTCCTATTTGGGACTCGTCATCTGGATGTACCTACATTCCCCAGTGAGTGATGGTGTTCCCCCCACTGAGGCTCGAACCCAGTGCCCATAGTTTCCAACGCCAAAGCGTTATCCACTAGACCAATTGGGCCACGAGAGCCACCTCTTGTGCAACTGGTCATATTAATTTAATTCAATTTTAGATTTCCTGTCGACTGATTGGACTGAAGTGCTCGGTCTCAGGTTGACATGTCGGCTTCTTGTGCAGATGCCTCATCACTCAGTGGGGAATGCAGGTACATCCAGATGACGAGTCCCAAATAGGACGAAATGCGCATCCTGGATTCCACTGCTAGTCATCATCCACCAATTAACTTCTATTTACATGCCCAGGCATTGTCGAAGCATCTGCACAAGAAGCCGACATGTCAACCTGAGACCGAGCACTTCGGTCCAATCAATCAATGGACGGGAAAATCTAAAATTCAATTAAATCCCAGCGTGTTTAAGAAAAAATCAAAACAAGATTTTTCTGAACTTTTGGCTGTGTAAGCTCACTTCAATTTATGTAATTTTTTCTGACTATGTACTTTGATGATTAATAAAATCCGAATAATTCTGCTGGAGAAGTAGCTGTGGCGTACACAGCGAAACGTTCAAAAGAAAGCCTTGCTTTGATTTTTGTCTTAAACACTCAGGGATTATTTTAAATAATTTATCATGATTCAGTCTGACTCGGCGCTCAAATTATTCTAGGGAAGTCGTAATATCTACGGTCTGGAAGCTTGTACTAACTAGTTCATTATCTCACTGTAGTTGTGACGACCACCATGGGTAATGCTTAGCTGGTATTTGAATAAATGAATGATCCACTGTGCGTCGATGGCACAGTGGTTAGGACTCTCGCTGAACATGCACATGGTCCGGGGCTCGATCCCCGGCCGAAGCACTCCTTTACCTCGCTAAGCTAGAGATAATGCTGGGCATGAGGCTAGCAACCCCATCCTGTAAATATAAACACTGCTACAGAAACTTCAAGCCATTAGCTTGAAGCCCTACGTTCCACTGGGGAACGTGAAGGAAAAAAATAACTAAGGGTAGGGGTTGAAGGTTTTTAAAGTGGTGGTAGTGATGAATTGTCAATGCTTAAGAGAAGTCGAACAGGTGCATCATAGCTAAGCAATAACAAGAATAATTTAGTGAGTGACTTGTGATTAGGATGCACATAGAAACAAAAAGGAAAATATGGAATTATATAAGAGTTGTGAAGAAGACCGGATGAAGATGTAAAAGTCAGCCAGTCAGAAGCGGAAAGGCAAGATACACCTTCAACAACCTGAAACCAATTAGGAAATCTTCTGCACTCCGCCTCAGCATAAAGAACAACACTTGGATTCTATTCAACACAGATGTGAAGTCAGTAAGTCAGTCAGTTTTTCTATACGCGTCAGAAACTTGCACTGTTTGTCACGAAAAGTATTTCCAACAATTCACGAACTTTTATCAACAGCTGCCCCTTCGCTGGCTAGCCAGATAGAATTAACAACAAGAAACTCTGGCAACAAACCAAGCAAGAGCCGATTACTCAACGAATATGTAGGAGAAAGTGAAGATGAGTCGGGTATACATTGAGGAGGCTGTCAAATGACATAGTGCGCAACGCAAGTCATTGCTTGAGTGGAATCCTAATGGAAAGCGACAAGTGGGTCGTCAGTGAGAGGGTGACCTGGAGGAGATCGTATGGCTGGGAGGAGATGAGAGATTATGGGGGATTGTGGGTCCAGCCAGATGAAGAGGGTGGCAGAAAACAGAACAAAGTGGAGATGTGTTGTTGAAACCGTATGTTCCACTAGGAACCCAACGGACTAATTATCATTATTATTATTATTATTATTGTATCCTTTAATTCCTAGAGGAACATAGGGCTTCAGCCGCACCTATCCATTGCGTTCGGTTCTCTCCTAGAGTCTTCACCTGGCTCCAAGTCTGCCCACACGTTTTCATCTCCTCTACACATGACCTCTTCAAAGTCACCCTTGCACTGACGACCAACTCGCCGCTTCCCTTTCGGGTTCCACTCGAGCAATGGCTTGTCTAGTGATATCACTTGATGGTTTCCTCAGAGTGTGGCCAATCCATCTCCATTTCTTCCTACCTATTTGTTGCACAATCGGTTCCTGCTGGGTTGGTTCGCTTATTGCCAGAGATCCCTGTTGCTGATCTTTTCTGACCATCTAATCTTGAGTATTGAGCGAAGACAACTGTTAATGAAGGTCTGTATTTTGTTTGAGATGCTCTTTATGACGCACCAAGTCTCTGATCCGTATAGAGTAGCACTGACTGACTTCACATTGGAGTTAAAAATCCGGACCTTATTTTTAATGCTGAGTGTTGTTGACCTCCACACAGACTTGAGAGTAGTGAAAGCTTGTCTTGCTTTTCCGATTCTTGTTTTGATATCCTCGTCAGTTCCGTACGCCTGTAGTTGAAACGATGCTTCCCAGGTGGGTGTGTATGTAAAGGAGGTTGCTTCTTTCAGGTTCCTCCCATTTATGCCGGCTGATTGTTGTCTGTTGTTGTTGTTGCTGTTGGTGTTGTTGAAGCCGTATGTTCCACTAGGAACCCAACGGACTAATAATAGTAATATTAATGTGAAGAAATACAAGAGTTATTAGAAGTTGTTAGAAAGGCAGACACACAAATATGAAGTCCTTAGAAATCTACATGATTGTTGCCATGGTAGTAGAAGTGGTTGGATGATTTTCTTCTATATGCATAACCCTGGTTTTTCCAACTGAATGCCTAAAGCTTCAGCAATGCATAAAGGAGATGAAAGCGTATTGCCTTTTCGTAGGTTATTCTTGACTGTGTAGATTACTTTGAAGCAGGAGGCGTTTGTTGAGATTAAATGACCAGTGACGCTGACAAGGTTTGCTGTCATGCGGGATAGTGTTCTCATTATCCATTGGCCAGTTAAGTTTTTCTCTGTCAGTCTTAATCATACTGGATTGGAATGAGAACAGCAACGTGTTCATTGTTCTCATGAGACTATGTGAGACAGTTTCGGGAGGTTAGTCGTGTAATGAGCGCTGATCAAACCTGATCTGAATTGTATTGACCAGTAATTTTTTAGATAGAATTTTTATTTCTACTTCAAATATATATACTACTTGTGAACACACTAAATAAGTAGTATAAAATTCATCTTCTACTCTCTAATTAATACTTTCTTCATTTCTTTTATAATTTTTACTTTTTAGAAACTTCCAAATTATAAACAGAATGCATATTTCATTCAAATGGATGATGATAGTTGTACAGGGAATGAAGATACCCGGGCATTTCTCCTAGCTCAACTGACTAATCATCGTGTCTCTGAAGTGTACTGTTTAGCCTGTCAACAGATGCTACCAGTTTATGATCATTTTCCTGTTATTGATGGTATCTTTTTCATCAGTCCACTGTGTCATCGTTCCACAGAAGGTTATCGTAAAGGTGGTGGTCTACGGGTTACTTGGCATACAAATGGTATACAAAATCAATCAGTACCACAACAACAAACCCAACAGCAACAACAACAACAAACTAATCGTACTTCAAATTCCAATAACACCAGTAATAATAATAATAGCAGTACTAATACTAATAATACTAATACTAATTTGATCTCTTCAACAAATGATTACCAAAATATCAATAAGATCGCGCTGAAACTGTTAGCCCCTTTGAAGATTATGTCACCGCCGCCTGGTTGTCTTGGTCCACGGCAACAGTTGAATTCAGTACAGCATAACAATATGATCAATATGATTACATCAGATCAAAACAGTTTACTGTCGAATTCAACAACATCACCATCATCAGTGTTGTCCTCATCGAGATATTCGTCCATCGCGACATCGACGAGACAAGGACGTTATCTGCATGCCTTGTGTATGAATTGTATGCATACAGAAGATTTGATTTCAAACAATAAGCTAAGTGATGTCAAATGTATTAGGTGTAAAGTGTGCGGTAAACTTTGGTCTGGTAAGTTTGATGGAGGTTTATTGTTTTGTGAATGATTTATTCTTCAGGAAAAATGAGCTTCTTCACTACTGATGTGCGAGAGGATGGTCGCCAACCACGAACGTGGTTAGTGATTTGATCCCCGACCAGCAAAAACACTGCCAAACCTCGATAAGCTGGTAATAAGGCCAGTGGCAAAGAGGCAACGTTGGCTATGAAGCTGGCAACCCTCCCCTCCCAGGTAAAAATAAAAAACACCACCGCAACCGAAACCTCGAAGCTCTAGCTTGAAATCCCTGTCTTCCACTCGGAACGTAGAGGAATAAAATAGTGAGATATGACCTCTATAGAAACGGAAAGAATAGATATTCCGTTGAACACCCTTTCAAAGTACTTTTTACTGTGAGGTATATTCAGAGCGGTTGACTTCCTATTTCTTAGATATACTGGAATTTGTCTTAGAGGGTGACATCCAGGTGAATGGTGAGAAATACTAAGTGATGGAATTTTCAACTAGTTAGTCATCTTGAATTAATTTTCTACAGTTTGGTTTGTAAGGGTTAGTTATGTCTTTACGAGTTGATCACGGATTGATATCAGTTAGAGAACCATTGAAAACCAGGCAGGGAGTACTGGACAGCTGTTTCATCCTAGTTTGGGAATCATCGGCAGTACGCACTCACTGGGATTCGAACTCAGGACCTTCCGGTTACAAGGCAAGCTAGCTCGTATACCATTCAGCCACTGGGACACAATTCAATGGCCAGTCCATGAATTTTAACTTCTACCAATTTGTGATTTAGCGCGACCCCAACCAATGTCGTCGGTGGGACATCGATCCTCACACGTGACATCTGAATGGACCTTACTGGTCATGACTTCTCACTAGAACTCCAGGAAACTCCATCCTGTAGCGAGTCACTAGCGAGCATCAGATTAATATTCTATAGTTTGGTTTGTAAGGCTTAGCTATGTCTTTACAAGTTGAATCCCAGTGGGTGCGTACTGCCGACGATTCCCAAACTAGCTGTCCAGTACTCCCTGGCTGGTTTTCAATGGTTCTCTAACTGATATCAATCCGTGATCAACTCGTAAAGACATCTTGAATTAATTTGGTGGATGGTGACTAGCAGTGGAATCCAGGACAATGCGCATTTTTTCATCTAGGACTGGCTCGTGACGCCCTGGATGTACCTGCATTCTTCAATGAGTCAGTGATGGTGTTCTCTCTCAGGCTGCAACCCAGGATCCATCGTTTCAAACGCCAAAACACAGGTTATCCACTAGACCACGATAGCCACCTCTTGTGCAAAAGGTGCCAGTTATTGTTTAATTAAATTTGGACTTTCCCGTTGACTGATGATTGGCGTGAAGTGTTCGGCCCTCAGGTTAACATATCGGCTCCTTTTGTGAATGCTTCGATTGATACTAGTCATCCGTCTGAAGTCTGATTCACCTGTAGAGACAGGTCAGTCGGATATTATCGCTGACTTTTATGTCATAACTGAAATGGACTAGATCTTTGAGTTGTATCGTCCTTGAAGTACCCATTTCGTAAACCAGTGAAAGTGAATAGGTAGGATAGAAATACCCCTCATTGTTGATATCGATAGAAAGTAACTGGTGGAGGTCAACAGACTCAGTCACCCAGTAATCAATATCTGAGTTAGACGAATGAGTATAAATCAGCAAACATGAATTAACTATTAGGTGTTTGTAGAACGCAGTAGGGATGATGTACACATTGGTATATAAAGTAAAAACTATCAGATTCCCTCTTATTTATGGCCTGAATGCGTAGACTTCTGTGTTAAACCCTACACGTGACTAAATCTAGAGTGGGGCAATTTTCGGTGATGATGTATTCTTAAGGACAAGAATCACTCCGGAGGCTATCAGTAATAATCAAGGTCATTGAGAGAAGATGGTTATTTCATTCGCTAAGAATTTTAAAGCTCACTTCATAATGAAGTTAGCTATCGTTGAGGATGTTGCCTAGGAGAACAACGTAGGCTTCACAATTAAACCATCCAGCTCATAGAACTCAACAACACCAGGAACCTCCCCATCTGAGCTATAAATCTTTGTTTTCTTTCAAAGAGGGAAGTATGCTAGACTTAGATTTTAGGGTCAGGTTCGCCGGTGGTTCAGCGTCAGAATGATCGCTAACCACTCCACACGTGGTTCGGCGTTCGATTCCCGGTCGGAGCACTTTAAAAACTCCTCTAAGCTGGAAGTAGGTCTTGCGGAGAGGAGGAAGGCTGAGGGTGAGAGCAGCAGCTCTCCCCCCACCAGGCAAAAGTAAAACCACTGCTACCGAAATTTCAAAGCTCTAGGTTGAAAGTCTTATCTTCTACTTGAGAAGTACAGGAATACAATAAAATAATGAGGTTATGCACTGCCTCGAATGTATTGAAATTTAAAAGAGTCACTGTCTTCTATAGTGTAACGTTATCTGGGAATTAGTCTGAAAATTGATGACTTCTGCCTTTTTATATTAAAAGAGAATGCTCAAATTCTTGTATGAGTAGAACAAAATGATACTTTTGAATGTTAAATCGAGGGTGAGAATAAAAGCACTCGTAAGGTGTTTTCTCCAACTGTATTGCAATCTCCATGAAAAATATTCCTGCTGTATAAAAAGAGACGAAATATCTTTAAAACAACCAGATGTGATAAAACTTGATACATTTGGGGTATTCTTTTGAACAAGTAATACAAGATTATGCAAGATCAACTACTTGGGGGAATTCAGACTGTAGGTCGCTGCCTCTACCCTGTCCTATCATAGAGGCGGAAACGAAATGAGGGTAAATCTGCCTTTGGCGATGACATATATTCACACTGTTGAATCAGACGACAAAGACTTTAGCTTCAAAGGCGAAATTAAGACCAAGTAAACCAGTAAACAGGAGTGCGACCGCACGAATGACCCTGAACACCTCAGTGAGCAAGTTACTGGGACCTGGCAAATGATAATTTTGTAATCATGAATAACGTATACTCAACGAAGTGTTACGTTATTTCGATGGAATATCTGCCAAGTTTCAGGTTAGGTTGTAGGGGAGATTAAGTCAAGGTTTAGGCTTAGGACAGGTTAGGGTTAGGTTAACGTAATTAGGGCGATATTAAGGTTGGTTCAAGTTAGATTAGGGTTAGCTTAGGGTTATTTTCACGTCAGGGTTAACTTAAGGAAACATTAGAGTTATTTTTAGGGTTGGATAACGCAGATAATTACATGCTTCATGCATTTATTCCCCTTGATGAATTTGAATAGAGCAAAAACAACAGTGCTTAATGCTGCTTACCGCCTAAATATACTATGAGGTTTATGTACAGAAAAGTGTTAACATACTTGCGAATTTTTTCATGATGTCAGTTGATAGAAAGTTTTGCAGTTAGTGAACAGTGCTTAGAAAGGTGCGCTTTCATAGTTTTTACACAGGCAGTTCATGTTTAAACAAAGTAAATGTATGCATACATTGACAAAGGAGTTACGTAATAAAGACGACAGATGTGTAAGATGCTGAATGACTAATAAATTACGTAACAATGTGCTGAGTTCAGCTCAAGCCACAGAAACGAGGGACAAGCAAAATAACAATTTATAAAACGGGGGTGAGGTAATGAAAGAGAATAAAGACATCCAGTTACCAGGACAAGGGAATACTAATAACTGCTTCTTTCTGAACACATAAATCTGGTTTCAAGCATTTGATAGAAATTGCTTCAACAAACTTGGGGAGAACAGAGCTTTTCTCTTGTCTATTGATAATTTTAAAGGATTTCGTGATTTCCGCCTACCTCATGACCCGTATCGAGGAGATGTCTGGTAATGGCGCTATTATAAGAGTTTGTTCCCTGCTGGAGAAGTAGGCTTTTCAGCGCATGTTCAGAAAATCGGAGGTGTACCCTTCTTCTCCTTGTTCTCCCAATGTAACTGTTCCCCCACCCAGATACACGTAAATTTGTATACACAGTTGGAGTTGTTAACATGACAAGGGTATCTGTCGACTTTTGACTGCACTACATGCATAGTATGTGGTTAAATTACTCTGTTGATACTCCACACGTCAGAGAAAGGTATCCTGTGTAACAGTTTCATTCGCAAAAATCGCCTTTATGCTTTTGTTTGATGCGTTCAAGGTGGTCATTTGTCCATTGGTACTTACTGGTGCTTAAAGCTTAACTTTGCCGCAATAAAAGGTATGACTATCAACACACTAATGAGTGTGAGCCTAAGAAGATTTGACGGAGAATTTTAAATCTATTCTGCTTTCTTTACATCTGTTTACACTTTATATAATTCTCATTATTATTAGTCTTTCAACCGGTTAAATTTAACAAAACCAGTCTAAAAATCACTAGACTGGAAAGTTCACTTTGTCTACAAAATTTCTTTGAGGTCAACTTAAGGTTACACATAACCTTTTTTTCATTTCTGCTTCGTTTAGTAGGGTATTTCTTTCTTTCTGTCTGACTTTATTTTTGTCGCTTTTCAGTAGAAGAGTTTTAGTAATCCAATTTTGCTTTCGGTGTGAGTCACTTATTAAATATGATGCAATCTAAGTTCTCTAGTGAGTCACTCTTGTTTATGATGATCAATGGACAGCTTACTTATGTACATATATGTGTATGTTTGTATACGTGTGTGCGTGTGTTAGTAGGCATATGTGTTGATTTACATGTCTGCCAGACTAATGTCACTTAAATAGGTTGTTAAGGCAAACAAAATGTTCTCTCTAAGTTAGTGATATGTCTGTCTAATTTTTGAAATTGGATGCGTGAATGGAACTCTGATAGACAACATTTTAAATGGCTTTTGAAACCATTTGGTCATCTGGTCATATAATAACACTTTGATAAGACACTAGTTACACTAGCAACTAGTGTAATATTCCATATTAGTTTGTTTATTAGACATATCACACAGTGAAACAGTATTATTTACTGGATGACGTTTCAAACACAATCTAGTATTGTTCATATTCATATCAAGTGTAATCACACGACTTTGACAC